TTTCAGTTTAATAACATCCTTCCTATAACAGGAAAATCAGAATTGTACGCTGTTTTCCATAAGAGGCCTTACCAATGTCTTGTACAGTAGTAACATAATGTCCCAACTCCTGTACACAATGATCTAACTGACGAAGGCAAGTATGCCAAACACTTTCTTCACCACCCTATCTATCTGTGACACCACTTTCAAGGAACTATGCACCTGCACCCCTAGGTCTCTCTATATGAAAACTCTCCCTAGGGCCCTAGCATTAACTGTGAAAGTCCTGCCATGGTTTGTCTGACCAAAATGCAACACCTTGCATTTATCTAAATTAAACTCCATTTGCCATTCCTTGGCCGACTGGTCCAGTTGATGAAGATCCTGTTGTACTCTTAGATAACCTTCTTCGCTGTCCACTATACCAGCAATTTTGGTGTCATCTGCAAACTTATTAACCATGCCTCCTATATTATCATTCAAATGGTTTAAGTAAATGACAAACAACAGTGGACCCAGCACCAGTCCTTGTGGTACACCGCTGGTCACAGGCCTCCAGTATGAACAACAATCTCCTTCCACCACCCTCAGTTTCCTACCGTCAAGCCGATTTTGTATCCAGTTGGCTAACTCACCCTGGATCCTATGTGATATAACCTTATTAGCCAGTCTAGGCCTTGCTAAAGCCCATGCAGACAATGTCTGCCATTCTGTCTTTTTTTGGTTTTTGAGAATGTAACTAGTAGGTTAAGGTAGTAGTAGTAAAATAGCTAACAGATATAGAACATAGAACATAGAACAGTACAGCACAGTACAGGCCCTTCGGCCCACGATGTTGTGCGGACCTGTTATCCTAACAGGATCAAACTACCCTGTATAATCTACATTATACTATCATATAATGCACTGAAATTTCCAAAAAGTTATTGATAAGGTATCATACAAAAGGCTTTTGTGCAAGACAAAAAGCTCTTGGTGTTGGGGTGATGTATTAGCATGAATGGAGAAGTGGTTTGCAAATGGGAACAGAAAGTAGGGGAGTATGGAAATTTTCAAATTGGAAGGCTGCAACCAGAGCTGTAAATACTGGAGCCTCAGCTGTTTACAATTTATATTAATGACTTGGTTAAAAATGTTGAGAGTAATGTATCCAAATTTGTTGATGATATAAAACTAGGTGGGAATGTAAACTGTGAGAAAGACAAAAGACAGGTTAAAAGAGTAAACAATCAAGGTGGCAAATTAAATACAATATAGGAAGTGTGAAGTTACTCACTTTGGTATTAAGATTTTTAAAGTAGAATATTCTTTAAAAGGTATGACACTTCTAAATGTTGATGTTTATAGAGTGTACATGGGGCATACTTGTACATGGAACACCAAAGGTTAGTAAGAGGGTATAATAAGCATGAGGAAGGCAAATACGATGTTGGGCTTTATTTGCAAGGGAAATAAGAGTACAATAATAAAAGTCTTTGTAACCATTGTGTAGGACTTTAGTGAATCCACACCTGGAATACTAGGCTTTTCTGATGAAGGGTCTAGGCCCGAAACATCAGCCTCTCTGCTCCTATGATGCTGCTTGGCCTGCTGTGTTCATCCAGCCCTGCACCTTGTTGTCTGGAATACTACATGTAGTTTCAGTCTTCATGTCTCATGAAGAATATACTTGTCTTAGAACCTATACAATTGACAGTCACTAGATTGGCTCAAGAATGAAAAAAAAAATACAACAAGCTACTGAGTAAACTGGAGCTATATTTTATGATGTTCAGAAGAATTTGGAGTCACTTTGTTGAAACATAAACGGCTCTGAAGGGACATACTATTGTACAGAGGTTGTTTCTCCTGGCTGTGGAACTTAAAACATGGGGGCTTAGTCTCATGATGAGGTCTGTTGTTTAGAACCAAGATGAAAAGAAATGTCTTCACTCAGAGGGACATGAATCTTTGAAATTCTCCACTCCAGAACATTGTATATGCTGCATTGTTTAAATATATTTAAGGCTGATGTAGGAAATGCAGGGATGTATAATGTAAACAGGAAAGTGAAGTTTAGGCAGAAGATCAGCCATGATCATAGTAAGTGGTCGAGCAAACTTGAGGAGCCATATAGTGTACCCCTATTTGTTATTTCCTAATATTTTCACTCAGCCACTTCTTCATTATTCTGATTTACCCCTCACTTTCCAGAATCGCTTCTTTCATTCTTGTTTATTTTAACTTCAATCTTAATTGTAACTGGCTTAGAAGGTCAGGCAATCAAGCTCTCCTGGAAAGCATTCAGGAAGGGATTCAAACATTAAGTGCCTGTGAATTTTAATATAGGGGCTGGTCATTGCATTTCTGAGCTTTCCATTCGCTTCCCAATTGAAGTGTAGGCTCTCCTCCTTTTCTCAGTTGTATTTTAACAGCTGGACCTTCTGATCCTCTCCTTAATTGTGATGCTGAGTTCAATTTGAGCCTTCAAGGAATTCCCAAGCTCGGGAATGGTTTGGTCTGGTTTTTGATTTGTCACCACAACCTCAAAAATAGTAGATAAAAAAAACAAAAAAGGCTTTAAATTGTTAGTTTTAAATGAACACTAAAAAAAAAATCTGCTTAAAAAATAGCTAGTAGAAACAGACTAGTAGCAACTCTGGTTTGGTGCAGATCTTATTCTCACTCATGCATAATTCCTTTATATAATATCAGGATAATATTCTCCCTCACTTTGGCATCAGGTACTGTTCCTGCATGTGTAAAACATTAACCAAGGTCCCTTCTTTTTGCAGACAGGATTCTAAATGTATCTCATGCATGTTGGTTTGAGTGTTTTGAGTTTTTTGTTGTGGCAGGGAGCTTTGTCCATCTGCCTTGCAAATTAAAAATTGAATCTTTAGTGGACAGGATATCACAAGTTGTGTGTATTTACAATACGTACTGTTGTTGGATATATGATGTGAATGTTAAAATAATCTACTTATACCTATGGGCACATTTCCTTCTGTACACGTACTTCCCATAGCTTATAGCAGGTATATTCATGTAAATACATTGTCATTATTTGCAATTGCTCATGTAACACCATCACAATTACAATATTACAAGAATGATCCATCTATGCAAGAAACATTGTGCAGTGGTTTCCATTTGCTGTGTAGTAGAAGCTATAATCTACATCACTTAGGGGGGATTTGGAAGCCTTAAGCACACAAAGGTTAATTGAATATTAGCAGGATATTAAAGGCATTTATTAGTTACTCATTTATGTTTGATCTTACATTCAAGAAGACAGTGATAAGTATTGAGTAAACACAGCTGTTACTGTCCAAACATAAATTATCACAACAGACCACATGGAATGATTAAAATTGACATTATGCTAATAGAGGATAGGAATTGCTTTTCTGGTAGAAAATGCCTTTTTTTGTTCTAAGTGGTAGGAACTTTATATTCTTTGCTCACACCTCATCGTAAATGGCTGAATCAAAATGACCTATAGTGAAACTTGATCCCAGTCTTTGTGAAGATTTAATAAACCTGGCATTTTCGGATCTTCTATCATATTCAAACCAATCTTGCCATTTACAAGGCTAATTTGGTTTTTGAAATGGTGCCCATCATCCATCTAGCTTAAACATATCTGGTTTTCTATTGCTGCCATCAATAACCTTCTTGATATTTTTGATCTAACTTTTGCCAGACTTTCTGTTTGTTCTTTCTTTTGTTATGTCTCCCCTTCTTTTCAGATGTTAATTTTTCTCCATGCCTCTTAAAATGTCCTCGAAAGTTCACTTTTAAAAATATAGTTTAGTCGTTTAGCTGCTCTGAAATCAGCTGGATGCAAACTTTACCACTCTACAATGGTAATAAGCTGTGAATCTCATCATTCTGTTGACAGAGACCACAGATTCTGCCACATACATTGGCCTGAAAAGGCTGACAGATGCAGGACAACAAATAGTGATACCAAATCCACCCCCAGGGACATGCAGTCAGGACCAAAGCACCGGTGTTTCCCCCACAACAGCTTTCCTTCAGTATTTTATCATAGCATCGAAGCGGGGCAATGAAAGCGAGGTAATTTGTTCCCTTACTTTGACTTGTGAAAATAATTTATAAATTGCGTAGGAATCCCTTCCCCGTTCCTGACTCTTTCTTTGCCATGTTGTGTTATGCAATAAAATATTACTGCAACAATGTATGTTTTTAACTGCTGGCCTCTTTCCTCCAAGGCTGGCAAAAAATAACTAAACAGAGCATGCTTAAGTAAAACCAAACCAGAAGTGGTGCTCTGCTCATGGACTAGGCAATATGACCACAGGCTCTACCTCCCAAGTGAGTCTGCTGACATCAGTGGATTGTGGGTGCTGACCGGAAATCCCATTAGAGCTTCCGGTTGAAAATCCTGACAGACCTTGTATCCGAGGTGATTCTACCTTTAGTCTCATAGTCTGGCTAAGGGTTTTCATGCAACCAAATCAGTACTTCCTGGGTGCTCTGTGCACCCAAAGGTAAATCATATAATGATATTGGATCATCGTCCAGCATCAGTTAATGTAAGACATCTGATTCTCAGTGTTAGCTGCACATCAGCATCAGCCCTCTTGTCAATGAATCAGAGTCAGAGGTTTTTCAGCTCAGATCCCACTCCAGAGATTACAGGCTTCCAAATTTAGGGAAATAATTTTAACCTGAGTGGCCTCGAACAAAATAAAGTTATTTGGATTGGGAGTGAAACAAGTAGTGAACCAACCCCACCATCCCTCCCCCAGCATGGAGCTTCCCCACCAGTGCTGATTCTAAAAATAATCATCCTCTTGTTTCCTTGGTAGCTTAGGTGATAAAGCATTATGCAGTATGCTCCAAGACTTCTGATTCACAAGGAAATTAAAAATCTAATTTATTTCATTACATGAACAGAAATAATATAATCCTTCTCAACTAGGATTTATCTTAATTTATATCTTCATTGAAATAACCATTTCCAATTTCCTATTGTGTGTTCATAATGTGTGAAGCATTGTTATTTTTCATATAATAATGCAGCATTTGAAAGAATATATCAAATATTATTGTTGTCAAGCAAATTGACTTGAAAGGATAATACTTGCTACCTTGGAAACCGTGTGAATCTGTTCCCGACTAGTGTTTGTTTAACTGGCTGTATTGTTAATTTTAAGAACCAAGAAACATCTGTACCCTTTTATTTTTAGATTGATTTGGAACGCTTGAATACCATGTTGGAAAGTGGAGCTGATATCAATGCTACTGACAGATATGGACAGGGCGTTTTGCATGGGGTAATGTGAATCTGATGGAATGATGCATTTCAGAGAAAACATTTTTCCCATGAGTCATATACTGTATTCAATAATTATGATTAATGTAGCTTTTTAATTGTAGCACCAAGTCCTACATTATGATTTTAATAGATTTAAATTCTGCTCAGAGAAATGTCATCTGTATTCCCTCATTGATACTTAACATCAATTAACAATATTCCACATGTATATAGTGCCTTTAATGTAGTAAAGGGTCCCAAAGCAGACAACTAGAGGTCTGAATTCTCTTTATCATCATTAAATGTGGTTATCAATCAGTGTGGACAGTTGCCTTCTGCAAGTATTTTGGAAAATGTATTCTTACCTGATAAATATATCTATAGTGCTTACATAATAATATTTATCATTAATGTAAGCTCATCATTTAAACTTCTAATGAAGGCAGTCATAACATGAAATTTAAGTGAAACATTAAATTGTGTAATCTTTTTATACCAGATCTGTCTTCACTTCACCGCTAAAATTTAATCTTGACAATATGGCACTGGGTGGGGAGATTTATTCACCTACCCCTCACTGTAAGAATCCACCAGCAGCCTATAGACCTAAAGAAGCCCTTCCCACAGCAATAACAAATTGCCAGTGAGTTAAACATGTAGGGACTCGCTCAGTGGGAGGAAGACTTGTCTTCGGAATTCGATTGAGTGCCCATTTTAGCAGCCCCAGCAGCTCCAGACAGAATAATGTGTGTTGCTGGCACTGCAAGCAGACCTAGGAAGGTCAGGAGATGGATGTTAGGGACAGGTAAATTTGGTCTTTTTGGACTAAATGGGATCATGCAGCCTGGGGTGGGAGCTGGGGGCGGGAGTGTTTGGGAGGTGTGCATGGTGGGGGTCGGGTTTTGGAGCCCAGGTGGAAAGAAGCAAAGTGGGAATAAAGGGTTCCTCCCTTTGCACAACTGGCATGCCCAAAATGCTGTGTCCCCACCACCACATCTTTCCCTCCTTTACAAAAATATTTGTCAAAACAGGTTCACTCATCTGCATGCCCACGCCGACCATACAATGGATTGGGAATGTGAAATGTGCATCAATTGTGTGCTAATTATTATTTCAAAAGGCAAGCAAGCTGCCTAATTTGGCACTGCTCGTGCACCAAATTACGGAAACTGGCTTAGCAGTGGGCAGGAAGGTGATGAGTTGATCACCCCTTGTATTTTTCATGGCCATTGTTAAAAATGGCGCCAGGTAGGGTGCTTTGAAATTCCACGTGTGCAGCATTCACTGCCATTGATGTGCAGCTGTGGGTTGAATAAAATAAATATGATTTCAACTCATGTTATATCAAGCAAACCTCCCCTTCAAAAAGTGTCAGAATAAATCTGTCATTGTCTTGCAAGTAACAGGCAAAGACCCACTGATATATCAGCATTATAAACTGATTTTAGGCTGCCATTTGAGTCTCCACATTCAGAGTTACCAAAGACGTCCTTGCTCAAAAGTCTGACTATGTTTCATATTTGTCTCAATAGGCAGCCAGAACATGGCATCCCGACGTTGCCAAGTTTCTGATTGAGAGAAATGCTGACGTGAACAAGCCTGATAACTATGGTGTAACTCCACTGCACGTGGCTGCGGCAGTAAATTATCCCGAAATGGTTGACTATCTTCTGGACTGTAATGGTAAGATAAATGTTTGCAGGAGGTGATGAGCTGTGAAGGCAGTGCTGCATAAGATTTTTGAAGAAAGAAGGGCTTGGATTTACGTAGCATTCCATGGTGGCCATTAGGCATCCAAAAGTGTGTTACAGTCAATGAGGTAATTTTGAAGTGTAGTCACTATTGCAATGAGAAAATGTGGCAGCAGTGATGATCCCAGCTGATATTAATTCCAGACAAGTCAGATTCAAGAGTTAAACCTGGCTTGATAGACTCTAATTTCGTTTTTTTTTCTAAACAGTGGAGATCAGACTCTGATCTCAACAGTCTGCCATTGTACTTTTCACACAAATAAGAAAAAGTTTATTAAATAAAATGGCTGGAAAGATTTCATTACAAGAACCAGAAAAGGGTTCAAAGTCAAACTATTCTTTTAATCCCTGCAATATCCTTACAAAGTCCAAAATCCCCACAAAAATTATTATCTTCACACCAAGACTTCTTGCACAGGCTGACATAACCATCTAACAAATTTTTGTCCATTTACTAAATCTTTTCTTTGTCCTCATATGGTATCCCTCCCTGAGACATCGAAAAGAAACTTCAATCACTATTACTTTAACTTTAGGGCAAACACGAGTTCCCGAAACTAAGCTTCCTGACAAGATTTCTTACCAGAGCGTTAAATGCTCCTGCTATTGCTCTCTGACACATGCATACGCGTGCACACACACACAGACACACCAACACACACACACAGTGACTGACTCACTCACTTCTGGATTTTTCTGTGCCCGTGCGTGTCCCTGGACCCCTGTTGCTAGGCAACAGCTCAGTTTAATTTGTATTTACTTTAAATGCACTAAAATACTAACCTCATCACTTCACAGGTTGTAACCTTCATTAAATATGCATCTAAACAAACAGGCCTCCACCAAGCTTACAAAAATAACTCTAAAAATGAAACTAAAACAGTCTATCCCTGTCCTTATTGCACAAAACAAAACTTATATTTAAGGTTATACATTGGGCTGGATTTTATAAAGAGTGGCAATTTTGTGCAGATTCTTCTTTTTCTGATCAATGTTCCTACAGAAATGCGGAGCTGGCTTTCTATCCTGACAGTTCCTTTGTAGCTCATAACTGTCTGACTCCCTTTTCACAGCACTCACCTGCTGGGTGCTGTCGAAGGATAAGCACATAAAGGTGTTGTTAGGATGCTGGGATGGTAGGCTGCCGAATAAATAAAGTGGCAGGTGTGTAGAGTGCCAGGGTGTAAGGTAAGAGGGGTGTTAGGTGGGTAGGCATAGGTTGCCAAGGGTAAGATCCCAAATGGTTGGGCGTACAATGTCAGACAAACAAAAAGCATGCCAGGAATTTACGATGTCAGGATTCAAGGTAAACATGATACCAGCTTGGGGTACCGCAGTATATCAGGTGAGAGAATGCTGAATGTCTCAGGATTAGGGTGCAAGGTAAATAAGGTGCCAGGTAGGTAGGATGCCACAAAAACAGGCTGCCAGCTTGGTTAGGTGCGGCTGGAGAGGGCGTTGGTTTGCCCGGGGTAGAATGCCAGAAAAGTAGGGTTTAAGGTGCTAAGTAAGTCGAATGTCAGGTGCGGAGTTGGATGAACACAGCAGGCCAAGCAGCATCATAGGAGCAGAAAGGCTGATGTTTCGGGCCTAGACCCTTCATCTCCTGTGATGCTGCTTGGCCTGCTGTGTTCATCCAGCTCTGCACCTTGTTGTCTTGGATTCTCCAGCATCTGCAGTTCCTACTATCTTCGAATGTCAGGTGTGTTGTTTGCCAAGTGGGAAGGGGTAAGGTGCCAAGTGGGTTGGGTGCGAGGGTTCAAGTTATCAAAGGGGCCGAGTAAGTGATGCAGTGTTCAGGGTAGATCAGGGTGGGTAGGAAAAGTTTGTTACAGTGGGAGTGATTGGTAGTGGTGAGGAGTGCAGATGGCATCAGGTCATGGAGTTTCAGATGCGGATCAGGGGCGAGTACAGTGGCAGGGGAAGTTTGGCGCTGATCGGAGCAGGGCTTCTGGGTTCCAGGGAAGGTGCCAGATCCCTGGGCGGAGTGGTTCCTGGGTCAGGATTTTGGGGGTTTTAAGGTTCTGGTGCAGGGTAAGTAGTTACGAAGGAATGACCACATTTTTAAGAGCCTAATCTTTTCCAGGTAGCTACTTAATTATTTTCATCAAAAACCTCCACATTATCTGATTTAAATGCAAACTTTCAGAGGTACACACACAGACAAATTGCCCAGCAGAATTGTCAATTTCTTGGAAATTCCTTCAGACCCTTTACAATGAAGATTCTGCAGGGTTTCCATGCGTAACTCACACTTACGCTGGAATATCTACCATCTGGCCATCGGAAAATCCATCCACGGCCATAAACAATAATGAGATAATGAAGGATAATCTGATTTGATGGTGTTGATTGAGGTATTGATATCAGCCAAGGTACCAGTTGTAAGTTTTATTGGTTCTGAGATATAAATCACATACTTAAAGTATCTATGTTTTAAAGTCTTAGCTTGTAACAGTGAGAGTCTTCAGTTGTGCTTGATCTAAAGAGATACCAAGAATATATGAATCAAGTAGAATTTATTACGCAAGATTTTATAAATAACTAACAAAAAGCAGTAAAGACGATATGAACATTTTAGTCCTCGGCCGACGATTACTTAATTGTGTCACTGCAGGGGATATCTTTCTTCTCCTGTCTCTGACATGACATTATGTTGACTTTGTCTCAGGGAATTACAGCACAGAAGCAATGGTAAAGTTGAGCCAGCAAAGTCTCTTGAGTTTACAATTCTTACCCCTAATTCTAAGAGTTTCTCATTCCTTATTAGGAAAATTTGCATTAGCTTAAAGTGATCTAGTGTCAACCTGCCTCTAATTAGAATCATGCAGGCTCAACAAATACCTATTTTCTTAGTTTCAGAAGTTACTTCCATTGTGTAAATATATCACATATCCACTTTAGATACAAATGTCCACAAGCAAACTATGTTTTAACGAAAACTATTATAAACAATCCACTTGAACATTCCCATAGAAACTGGGCCAGTTGAAAACAAATGCCCCTTGCCGAGTATTAGGATGCCCTTTCGAAATACAGATGGTTTGTTCCACAAGTATAGCTGATATAAGACACTAAAAACTATTTAAAATACTTTGCATTTGTTTAGGATAGTTAGTCCAAACTGCAGCATTCAAATATTTTGCTTTCTTTACACCTGGCAAACAGGTCTGTAATTGTACATTCAATAATTACAATAGATAGCTTGAATGCAGACATTTCAACAGCTTCAGGCTATCAAGGTCAGTTTTAATACAAAGTGTTAATCATCTCACTAGCAGAAATTTGATCTAAACTGTTTGAAAAGATAGTCCAGGAAAATCCTAAAATGTCTCTTCAAATCTAAAAAGTAGTTGTGTTATCAGAGTCTTACACAGGGATAGCCTCACAATTCTTCTTCAAAATAGCCCCATGAGATCTTCTGTGCTCACCTAAAAGGACAGACAAGCCCATAATTTAACATCTCACTTGCAAGTTAACACTTGCAACAGTGCAGCACTCCCTCAATATTGCACTGGAGCACGAGCCTAGATTCTTGACCTGAAACCATTGTTTGAGGCTATGAAACCACAAACTTCTGACTCAAAAGAAAGAATGCTACCAACTGAATGTCGGCTGATACTGCAGAAAGGAGCAAATCCTGCATATTTGTTGTCAACTTACTTTAATCAATCAGGCATGCCATCATAAATTTGTATGCCTATTGAACCATGTTGATTTAGTAGTTCCATTAGTTATTACATTATGGTCATGCAGCTTGCTTTGAACAGGTAAGGAAGGGTGAATCGGACCCTTTTTTAACCTCTTCAGTTGATTGCGACAAAGATTTATGCTCTTGGGTGAAAGAGTAAACAATTTTATTATCTACAAGCATTCATAAAAGTAATGACCTAACATCAAACATACAGAAACACATGTACAAAGTTAAAAAGGGATAGTGTGTTGTATTAAAGAAAAATAAAAGGAGCAAACTGTTAAATTCATAAGGGTATCCTTGCAACATAATTATTTTAATATGGCACTGTGGTTGTTTAATTCAAGTATTGCATCCTCAGCAGTAGTAAATCTTGCAGAACTTTTTGACTTCTCAACATTCAGATGTTTCTCTCCAATTTGTATTGTAATTGGGTGCTTTGTTCTTTGCGAGGAAGAGAGAAAGAGAGCAAGTTTTCTTCAGCTCTACAGTCACAAATCTATCTGCTCTGCCAAAAGCAGTCCTCCAAAATACAAAGAATTTGTTTAGTTCAATGTCTGAGCTCATCATTTCCAAGCTTGATTAAATATGGTGATATCTTTCATCTCTAAAACATGAAACCTGTCATACAGTTGTAAATCAAAAATAGATGAGGGTTTATTCAGGCCTGATTAATTCAACTAAGTTTTTAAAATAAAAAAAGTTAATTTCAGTTGACAGTTTTCTTTAATCCACATTTGTTTCATGAAGCTTGGCTAACCTTATGATCAGCTGATTGCTGTGGCCCTTTTTAAAACCATTTCAGACCATGAAAGCCTCAGGTATTAAAATCAGAATGTAGAATTTGAACATCGATAGTTCATATTTTTTGCAGCAACCAGAATCTCAAAATCGACTGCTAATCTGCCAATATCAATGTTACCAGTGCCATCCAACAATGTTAACAATGTTATCGTAGAGGCATGGAGTCATAGAGATGTATAGCAAGGAAACAGACGCTTTGGTCCAACTCGTCCACTTCTTGACAAAAAATTCAGAGACTGATTGTCTTTACTCTTATGTTTTTGGATTACTGTCTTATTTCTACTCAGTGTGTATGTGTGTTGTGTTACTATTTCTTCTTGCTTTTAGTAATTAATAAGCTCACCTTTTTTTAAATTCAAGAAAGCCTGGTTAAATTGCTTCCTTAAAAACATAAGTTCATTGGAATCTGACAGAAAGGTATCCACAGGGGAAGAGATCCTTTTAAAATTAAACTTACGGCAGTAACGCAGAGAGGGAGTGAATAACCAAAGGGAGCAAGTTCATCCTTCCTTACCCACGATCTTAATGGTTTGTGGTATGTGGTCTAGAATTGCAACAAGTTCAGGAACCTCACCCAGTGCCTGGTCATAATAATTGATATGATACACTTTGTTGCAGACATTATGAGGAGGACTTGGATGTTGGCATTTACTCCTCCAACATCCTAAACTATTCTTCCCAAACGTACATATAACATCATGATAGTGGATGGTGCTTATGGCACTCCTCATGATTAACCCTTTCATGCAGGGAATAGTTCGTCCAGCAACTTAAAATGTGGATTTGGCAGAGGCCTGAGATTAAGATGCTTAAATAACTTGGGGATTGGACTTTGCCTTCCAAGTAGCACAAAACATGCTCAAAGTAAATCAGGGGCCCTTTGAACATTCTATCCAATTTTATTTTCATCCAGTGGCAAATACTTATATCACATGGCATCTTCTCTGGGGAATGCTTTGTGATCCAGGGAGACCACTGCAAGATTACACTGTAGAAAATCTAAGGTGAAAACAGTATTCATTGGATTATCTCCAAGCAGATAATTAACTTCATCAGAAGTTAAGTCAACAGCTTTTTTTTTCCATTTTCACCGCTGTTTTTAAGCCTTCACCTCCACTCCTGGGCCCTGACTCTTATTGGATGCAAGAGCTGATTAACTTTAGATTGTTTAATTAAGTGGCAATTTGTGGTCTCCCCTTTGCCCCTTTGCTTCTTACCTTTTTGTCTAGAGCTGATGGTATGTAATGAACTTCGCTGCTAAAATGCATCCTAAGTAGGACAGGTAGAGATATAACATCCCAGGTATAAATTGACTATAATTAATTGAGTGAATATTGAATTTTAAATGTACAGTATAAACTACAGACCTTTTAAAAATGGTATATTTATGTGGTTAATTGAGACAATGTGGTGTAATTTAGTGGTTTTTGCTGATGAAAGCACAAATTCCAATTTGCTTTCCTGATAGCTTTTTATATTGTATGTCGGTAGTAGGGTATGAATTCTGCCATAAATGTATCATGGAGTTCTGGTTGCCACCTTACAGGAAGGATGTAGAGGCTTTAGAGAGGGTGCAGGAGATGTTTTCCAGGATGTCACCTGGATTGGAGTGTATTAGCTATAAGGACAGTTTGGACAAACTTGAATTGTTTTCGCTAAAGCATCAGAGGCTGAGGGGGTACCTGATAGAATTATGTAAAATTATGAGAGGCTTGGATCAGGTGGATTGTCAGAGTCTTTTTTCCCAGAGTGGAAATCTCAATTACTAGGGGTGCATAGGTTTAGAGTGAGAGGGGGAAATGTTTAAAGGAGATGTGCGAGGCAAGCTTTTTACGCAGAAGGTAGTAGATGCCTGCATTACACTGCTATGGGATGTGGTAAAAGCAGATACAACAGCAACACTTAAGATACATTTAGAGAGACACATGAATCGGCAGGGAATAGGGGGATACAGACCATATGCAGGCAGATGGGATTAGTTTAGAATGGCATCATGGTTGGCATCAAAGGCCTGTTCCTGTGCTGTACTATTCTATGTTCTATAAGCACTTGCACAAACAGGCAATATAAATCAATCATCCATTATACATTCTGTACAATATTCAGTTCCACTGATGAATTCTTATGCTTAGGATGTGGATTGCAACTTCTTCATGGTTTTGAAAACATGAAGGTCAGGGGTGCTAAGGATGGAGTTAGGAACTGGTGAAATCCGTACAACAAGGCGATCTTGACTTGTTGCCCGTTAGCAGAAAAAGAATCGATTATCTTCCAGATGGCGCTTCAATATGCAGGCTTTTCTGCCACGTATAATGTAAGTACTGTGCTAAAATATCATGACATGCAGAGTGGGAACAAAACATAGACACAGTGCAGTAACTCAAATATCACAAAATTCTCTACAAATTTTGTGTATCCTTTGTAATTGTGTATAGCATCTTTTTTTAGCGGACATTGAAGCAAAAACGTCAGGAATGATGCAGACACCAGTTCACTATGCAGCTAAGTATGATGCTGCTAATGCCCTGCACTGTCTGTTGAAACACGATGCTAACATGAAGGCTCGAGACTACAAACAGCGAACCCCTTTGCAGCTGGCAACAGAGCTTGGTAAGGTTCATGATTTATTTTTATTAAGTTGACACTTTAGGTATGACAAGGCAGCACTAGATAGACTGTGAGTTCTGTTGGCTACAAGTACACACTAGATAAAATATTTATTTTCTCATTAATTTTGTCAGATCTGTGAGTCTGGTTCATCATTTCTACCTGAGGATCCAGGTCTTCCCACTTTGCAGGAGATCTTAATAAAAACTGA